AAACGGGCGAACGCGTGGGCGAACACTCGCACGGAAGCCGAAGCCCCCGACTCTGCAGAGGGGACGGGTACTGAAAAGGGAAACAGAACAGGCGACGCGAGGCACTTCTGTGCCCGCCAGTGGGCTTCCCTTGTCCACCGCAGACTGGCCTCTTACAGAGAGTCCTCTTGCTTGTCAAGCCCCAGTCTGTCGCATGTCCTTTCAGAACTTTCCGGGAAGCTCCCGTCGTGGGCAGCGAAATGGCACCGTTTCTGATACACGCGCGAGTCCCCTGCATGTCCCCGCCGTCTGAGGTGTGCCGGCCGCGTGTGGGGGGCGCACCCCGGGGGAGGCTCTCCGCGGCTCCCTTCTGTGCGTGGGTCTTTCCTGGCGCTGTTCCGGCCTCAGTGGGGTCCAGGCGCCGCTGTCCTGTGCAGGAATGCCCGCTGGATTCCCCGGTCCCTCCCTTGGCCACATTTGGAGGCGTCCGTAGATTTCCCCCTTGAAATGGAGACCTGACCTTCAGCCCTCAGCCAATCTTAGCAGGACAGGGCTTTCGAAAACGATGAAAGGAGAGGGTGCAAATGTTATGTGGCTTCTAAGGTGATTCCCACCCACATTCACCGCTGGAAGTGCGCCTGCCAGGGGTGCCACTCCCACCCATGTTCAAAACTGTTCCTCCTGAGGCTGGCAGCGACAATCAACTCACAGACAGTTTTCTCTCTTCCCAGCTCTAGGCTCTGTGCAGGAGCCCTGGGTGGCTGTCCTAAGCTAGACTCTCTGCTGGGCCTGCCTCTGTGACTTCTCTGCAGGGCTGTGGGTCTGTATGGAGCAGGCATCCCGCATTCAGGCATGCAGCTCAACCGGTTGTCTTCAAGGAACAGGGATCATCTTCAGGGAGCCTGCAGAGTGTGGGATGGACCCTCCGTAGAAACATTTGCAAGTCAGGGAAACTCAGGCAGATCTGGGCTGCGGAAGGGTGGCAGGGAACTCTCGGCAAAGCTCAGCAGGTGGTGGTCACAGTCGGCCTCGGGAGGCGATACGGCCTCAGGGCAGATCAGGGCAGATCAGGGCCGAGGAGGGAGACG